CCTCCCCCCCCTCCTTTTTTTTTTTTTCATTTGGAAAAACTGACTTTTATAAGAAAATTGTATTGAAAAGTGGGTTGTCGTTTGTATTTTTTCTAAAATGTTCAAATATCGTTTAATTGATGCATTTTAATGTTCCCCCCGCCCCTGATATTATATTGTTTTCTTTAGTGTTCTTTAGCGTGTATGTTCAAATAATAGATAGAATGAGTTCAATTTTCCTGTGCCCTCCCGTTTCTTTCTTAATATTTCGCCACCTGTCTTCATATTTAACAAAAATATAACGACGGTTAAATCCAATTGAATAATAAAACAAACATTTGGGATTTCACTCTCTAATTGGCCCAAGCGACTTCTATAATCATTTTGAAATAGAGAGGTGGATCGGGAGGGAATGAAATAGATCTGGATCTAGAATCAAAGGGGAGAACGATATAGATAGAAAAAGGGAAGGGAAACAGAGAGAAGAGGTTTGCCGACGACAAAGAAGAGAGGGGTTGCGTTGCGCCGGCGGGATGGGGTGGTTGACGGAATTGGGTGGGCGTGAGTTCTGATGGCTGTTGGGTATTTTTCTTTTTCTTCAATTGTTAGTTTTTGCATACAGGAAAATTGAACTCAGATAGAATGGGCTTGCACATATATGGTTTTGAGGCCGCTCCATTTCAATTTCAATGATCGAAGCCGTCTACTTGTTAAGACATTTAGTTACGTGGAAATAAATAGACAATTTTTCAAGAAACACTTCAATGACTACCTTCTAATCAAATAGTTCAAACATTTTCGGATTTGGGTGATTTTTTGCAAAGATATCTATGAATTAAGACATGAAAATTGGCCCTATAAACGTGTTTCCCAAGTGAAGGATCCGTGATTGAAGCTAGCTACCTACCAAATAATAACTATATCCCAAAACCTTAAAAATAACAAATTTTGAGGGAAAAATAAATTGTGCATTTACAATTTTCATGCCTCAAAACAGCCATCATTTAAATTTTTGTTCAAATAACAATGCCATGTAGCCAACATTACCTCCTTACCGCAGTGACCATCTTCTCTAGTCAGGAACGTAGATATAGGCCCCTGAATTTTCAACATGCAAATTCTTAATCATGATTTCCTCCCTTGAACATCTTTTCCTATGCTCTTGTTGTCAGAGACTTCTCCTTCTGTAGTGCTAGCAGGAACAATCTCATGCTTGCTGCTATCCCCTGTTTTTGAGCTCCCGGCCACTGTTGTTCCTTGACTTACTGAAGCAGCTTCCTCGTCAAAATGTTTACTTCGCTCTGCACCTTCGTCCGCAACATCAGCACGCTGTTGATCCTCTTCTTTGTCACCCCTGTACCAAATGTAAAGGACCATGCATAATGAAGCATACATTACTGTCTGCTTGCATAAGAGGGAGATTAAAAAGAAAAATACTTATGTTCAACAAAAACTATGAATCACAGCACCAAACAAGTAGCAAGCAGCAATCTTTTTTTTTTTTTTTTAAAAAAAGCTGAGGTCTAGTGTAATTACTAGGCTTCTACCTATTTAGTCAACATAATACAACATCCTTTCACAAATCTCTTTCCGCCTAGTTACTTCCTAGATCAATTATGTAAGCAGTAGTAATTATGTCAAGTGTGAGGTTGTTTGTGCAAGTCGACATGCTCGAAAGTAAAAAACAAGCTCGAGCTATTTGCATTTAGGAGGTTCATTCACAAGCCACGAGATAGAAAAAGAAACTCCAAAGAGAATAAAAGCTACGTACCCTGAATAAATAACAAGCCCAACACAAACACCAGCGAAGGCCACAAAGTACATCCAATCAACCTGAGACAATTCTTGGCTTAGAAAGGCAATTGCACATTTTATATAAAGAACTTACGGATGACTGAATTTTTCACAACGGATTTTCATGATGAAAAATAATGATGCCAATACAATTAGCTTACGGACCTTCTCATGGTAAGCAAAAATGCGAATTAAGACTGCCCACATGTCTGAGGTCAGCAATGAGAGGTTTAACATTGTGGACCCATTAGTCTGCAAGGACAAACAAAATTCAGTACATAAAGTTCTAAACCAATAGTACATAACAGCATATTCATTTTCTTTGCTTTGTTTTGTTAGGAAAACTTGTTCCCATGATTGAAATTAAATTAGCCAATTCTTAAACTGCTGTACAGAGGTGCAGGGCTGGTAATCAGCAAGCACACCGCTGTAAGCAAGCATGAAGTTCATAAAAATGTCTCTGTCCTCGGGGGTTACATGAACAAGTCTTTTCAAACATTGTTCTCTGCTATTACAATTAAAAAGAGTGAGAGAAACTACCCGGGTACAAATTTTACTGAGAAAATAGTACATGGAAGAAAGAGGACACAACTGCTATCAAACTGAGAATTCATACTTACAATGAATTATCGTTTTTTTTTATTCTAAAAAACTTATAAATGAATTTTCATTAGATTCGAAAAGCAAATAAAGATTAATGTTCACATACACCAAGCTTCTGACAACTCATCCCATGAGTGCCCTCACACAAATAGGGGCACACATCAACTGTTAGAAACCTCGTACCTTTAGTAAGACTGGGACAAATGAGTAAAACAGGAACATGGCCACTGAAAATCCAACAAAAGGAAGTGCCTGGCATTAACATGGACAAAATAATGTCAATATGCAAGCATAACTATCTGTAAGTCATCATCAATGTTCAAATTTCTTATTTATAAAAAAAATTTGTTTTTTATTATATAAAAAAAAAAAAAAAACCACTGCTTTATGTAATCCAAGGTGAAGGAAACTATTAGTATTTGTCCTCTGGAATAAATTCCGTCATACATGGTTTCATTAATCTACTGAGTACATTTTGGCTGGATTGTAGAGATATGATATCAGAACCTATCATATGTGTTATTGGTAGTCTGAGCAACCCACAAATCCCTCAACAAGCCCAGGGACAGCCCATACCAAACTCTAAGATTTGACCAATGGGTCCTACTCTGCTAGGTCAGATCAGTGCAATCTAACCAGTGGAGGAAAATGCAGAATGTCTCCTGCACTATCGGCTATCGAGAACCAGCTTGTGACAATCCGAGGTGACTGTACTGGTCCAAGATCAGCTGATTGACCCCTACTTCATGGTTGGGGGCCATGTGCCCCCTCATAAAAAAGTGAATGTACATCACACAGTTGTGTCAGACAACAGCGGTGTACTCCTGGTCCCCATACCAACAATGGCCTCCCACATGGTCAACCATTCTGCCTCTATATAAATCCAAGGGATTCAAAACCAAGAGGAAATACACAGTTTGCCTATCATATATACTCTGCAAAAACTACTCTATACACCAGCTAGACTAACTTAGCCATCAGTGCCAATTTGGCAGGCACCACATTGGTATCCCCTCCAGAAACCTTCTCCCCTTATGTTCTTGCAGGTAGTCCATAATGTTCCCATTGACGAAGACCTTAAACCAAGTGAAGTTCTTCCATCAACAATGAGTTTCTCAGGATCTATCACATTAAGTGAGAGAGAGAGAGAGAGAGAACTTCAATTGAAAATTGTCTCTGCCAAAGGGATAGACTTGAACCATTTGTAGAAAATCAACCACAGAGATTAGAAACCTACAATTTGTAGAAAAGCACCCAGAGAGAGAGACAGAGAGAGAGAGAGAGAGAGAGAGAGAGAGAGAGACATACTGCCCCAGCTGACCAGTGAATGGATTTGAGCTCATTGCGCTCCAGTATGCTTCTATAGAAATCATTAAGGGCTACAACTTGAAAACAGAATCGCAGATATAAAACACTCAATACCACTTTGCAATTGATAACTTCTTTGTGTTATGACATTCAAAGCACAATTTATGGAAATCAAGGTGTAAAGTAATTCATTAAAAGCTGCAAATATAAATGATCAAATAAAACCCCACATAGGCAATTTCTCCAGCCACAGAATCACCTTGAAAACAATCAACATAATCAACTTAAAAAAATCACAGATGTCCACAAGTTCGTTCACCGAGAAGTCATAGTTCCTGTAAAAATTAGATGCCTAGGTCCAAAACCAAAGGATACATTTGGATAGCACTGACAATGGCACCAAAAAAGCCCAGCATGGCCATGAGTTCAACTCTGTCGGCATTCTTTACTAGAAACTCCTGCATAAGAAATGGGAATCAAGAATTAACTATGCAAACGCGAAGTAGCACCTATATGAAGACTTT